AAAAAAAAAAAAAAAAAAAAAAAAAAAAAAAAAAAAAAAAAAAAAAAAAAAAAAAAAAAGAAGTTTTCTATATCTGGTCTACACTGTATTTACTGGTTGGAGTGCAATAGAATGGTGACTGAAACATTCAGAATCTTTGGGAGAAGATGAAGTTGTACGCTTACCTTTGGATCAAGAAGTTTGATTTATTCAATCCTTTTGTGTTTTCTTATTGGAATCAAACTTCCATTGTGTGAATGCTCTTAATATAAAAGTTCCCATTCAACAAAAGATCAAAAGTAGCACTATAAAGCTAAGTGAGAAGACATACAAGGAGAGCTATAGATGTCAGTGCCCCTGCAAGAAACGCCTCTTTGAATTTTCTGCGTAAAGGATAAAGCGTTATCGGAAGGAAAACCAAGATTGAAAATGGCCAGCCAAGAATTACACCAGCAGCAGCAACAGCAACCGCTGGAGCAGGTTTCTCCAGTAGAAATAATCCAGATGACAAAGATACTGCATACATGGAGAACGAACTAGGCAAGAAACCTGGAAAATGAGGCAACAACAATAGATATTGAAGCAATTCCAGTATAAATATATAACTAAAATGGTGTTTCATGTAGAAGTTACACAATAAATGACATATATATGAGACACGTGAAAAAAAAGGGCCACTCACTAGTGCTGGCAAAGAAACAACCGCTGGTCAAGCATAACATTGCAAGCGTGTAAGTGGCAAGGCGTTTCCCAAACCTCCTCGAAAGTGCCACTACAAGAACAGTTTCAGTAACGACAGATAGAAGACCAAGGAAAATTCTTACAGCAAAGAATACTCTCACCTGCAATTTAAAGAGAGATTAGAACCATAGACATATCTGGATCTACATGTAGGCTATTGAGAACATAACAACTGAAAAGGAGTGACCCTTTACTTTGTCTTCAGAAAACAGCCACGCAGCTGGTCTGCCCACTAATTCATGGAGAACAATGTACAAATATGATCGAAGTGCAAACTGGGAACTGCAAGAGAGTGCAATTTCAATGAATATATGAATTAAACAAGATCTCGCTGAAATAGCAGCTTTATCAAAGTCAGACCGATCTTCAAATGAAAAACAAGAATGATATTATGATGAAAAACATATATGCATTAATTGATGATTGATGCACTCGATCATTTTGGAATTCATATAAATTAAAGAAATATATATACAGAATCCACAAAAGGCGAGTGATCTAATTCAGATATTCATTCAGGATTTTACATTCCAAGGCCATTAGTACCTCACTTACTCCATCAAATCATGTCGTTTCTGCCTTATTCCTCGATTAATATATCATTGCTTACTGTAATTCATTACTTTGATTCTACCAAAAGAGAAGGATACTGCTATCTGGCATGTAATCCAGCTCAAGCAATTGGTGGAACATTTTCACAGTATGAAAACTAGGAGAACGATTCGGGTAAAAAAGAAATCAATGCACCAAGAAATGAATATTTGTAAACACCAGAATAGGAGGATGCAAGTACAATAACCAGCATTAAAAGCTCAATGAAATTCCGAAATGTTCCTAAAAAACGGAAGAGTTACAGTTCATAGGAGCAGGATTGAAGGAGAATAGGGAGGTCTAGAACCTGTATTCCCAAGTTTGGAAGCCAGATTTGAAGAGAAGGTAATGAAGAGGCTCCCAGTCATTGAAAACCTCGTCGCAGTCGTGAATGATGTTGGAGGTGGCACTCATGTACCTGAGAAGCCCCAGAGCAAACAAAGGGAAGAACCAACCAATGCCTTTGTTTTCGTCGTCGCTGGTGATCGATCGGCCCGGCTTACCGGATTTAGAATAGGAAGAAGAAGAAGAAGCCGCCGTGGACTGCGGAGGGTCGGAGGTCTGAGGGCGCCTCTACCTCATCTCTGGAGCCGTTTGCTTCTTCTCCGTCGGGTCTGAAAGCAAATCGGAGAGACTGCCTATTTATTATGGTCTTCAAAGCTTAACTGCTTTTGCTTTGCTTCCCATCCAACTCTCTCACTCCTCTCTCTCTCTCTCTCTCTCTCAACAATTTTATATTGCCATTTAAATTAATAAAAATATTTTTTTAATATCTTTAAACTAAAAATAAATAAATAAAATGGTAAATATCTTAATTTTTTTTTTAAAGAAGTTAAAATGAAAAACTTTAATACTTTATTTAACAAATATCTATATTAAAAATTTTATGAATGCAAATTTTTTTAAAAAATTTAAAAATACCTTTATTATTAATATCACGTTTAAAAAATACCCAAAATTTTTTAAAATAATATTAAAAGTTAATAACAATTATAAAGATAATATGTAAAGTATTAATATCGTTTTTCTGTCATACATTAACGGTAATTTTTTATTTTTTATTTTATAAAAGTAAAATGTGTTAATGTTATTTTTAAAATTTCATGAGTCACATATCAGCTAATTTAGGTAATGATCATGGGTTTATAATGGATAAATACTATCTCCATTGGTTTGAGGTCTTTTGGGGAAGCTCAAAAAAGTCATGGTTTGAGGTCTTTTGGGGAAGCTCAAAAAAGTCATGAAAGCTTAGACTCAAAGTGAACAATATCATACCATTGTGGAGAATTGTGTTCATCTAGCAAGTATTTCTTAAACATAATACAAACGATCAATTTTCTTTAATATAATTAGAAGATAAAAAAGAAGCAAGAGAAACAATAATTGATGGCCATTTTGATTTCAACCCACACAATTATTCAAATTTCAAATACATTCGTAAAGAGCCAAACAGAGCGTAGCTCAGAGGTTCAAATCTCCGTACCCTCATTTACGGTACAACAATGCGTATACATTTTTAAGATAACAGCATAATCCACCGGCCACACTCAAGAGCCGCTCAATCAAAAGCTGGATTAACTTAAACAACATCTAACTTCTGATGCACAAATTATGAGCCTTATCTTTCATGCCAATTTAGAAACCAGTAAATGAAACAACAATGGGCATAGACTACATATATAATGGCTCATGTTTAACCGGTGTTCTGAAGTCCAGCAGCAATACCCTTCATGGTCAAGATGAGTGTGTCCTCTAGCCCCGGTGCGTAATCGCTCATCGGGTTTAGTTGAATGAGTTCATCTGCTGGTTTGGTTCCTTCCATTATTTCCTTTGAAATGTGTGGACGAACTTGCACGTTGTAGTTCGGATCACGGATTCGTTTCAATGTGTATGCTTGGCACACGTTCAGAGTCGTGATGTACGAGTCACGGAGACGGAGTCTTTGCTTCAAGGAAGGATCCCCTTCAAGAAGATCTCTGTGCCCAGCAATCTACAGCACAAGGACAAGGAATTGTTGATTCAATAATGAAGACCTGGTGTGGCATTTGATTCTATGGAAAATGGCCAGATTTTACCTGTAGTAGAAGGCTCTTCGTTTCTTCGTAGTCGGCTCTCAACCGCTCTCCAAACGACCAGAGGTCCTCCGAAACTAGGAGCTTGTCGTACAAAGCTGCGATGCCAGGGTCTCCTTTGGCGAACACCATTTCAACCAAATCGATGGTGACCCTAAAGAATGGCCATTCGTTGTACATCTCCTGCAACATGTGAAGGTTCTTAACGTTTTTCTGGATAATATGCTTGAATGCGGCCCCAAAGCCTAACCAAACTGGTAGATGGAACCTCGTCTGCGTCCATGCGAAAATCCACGGGATTGCACGAAGTGACTCGATACCGCCACTGGGCTTTCGCTTCGATGGACGACTACCAATATTCATCCTACCATACTCCAGCTCTGGTGTTGCCTACAATCAGAAGTACAAAACATTAAGTTAAAAACAGCTCAGTCAGTGCAGATTTCAGTAATGAAATATTATGAGTCTATGATGAAGAAATCGTACAAGGCGGAAATACTCCACGAATCGTGGTTCTTTGAAGACAATTGAACGATATTCCTCTGTAGCGACAACGGCCATTTCATCCATCAGTGCACGCCATTCGGGTTTTGGTGAAACTGGAGGGTGCATACCGTGCTCAAGCGTTGCAGCAGTGAAACGTTGGAGTGTTCTAAAACACAAGTGCTCCTCTCCAAAGGATTGCTCAATAACTTCACCCTGTACCGTTACACGGAGCGAACCGTGAACCGTCTCAGGTGGTTGGGACAAAATAGCAAGATGAGTTGGTCCACCTCCTCTTCCAACAGTGCCACCACGACCATGAAACATAGTTAGCTTCACACCATATTGCTTAGCAACCTTTATAAGCTCTTCTTGAGCCTTATACAACTGCCAGGCTGCAGAGAACCGTCCAGCGTCTTTGCCAGAATCCGAGTAGCCAATCATGACTTCTTGCTTTCCGTTAATCCGATTTCTGTACCAATCTATCGAGAAGAGGCGAGCAAGGGCTGCTGGTGCAGCCTCCAAATCTGCAAGCTTCTCGAACAGCGGAACAACTCTCAATGGTTGCATAACATGGCATTCACGTTGCAAGAGCTCGACTGCCAAAACATCGGATGGAGCGGTGGCCATGGAAATGATATATGCACCAAAGTTATCCGAAGGAAGCTCGGCTATTACGTGGAATGTGTTCAAAACATCAGATATTTCTTCAGTTTTAGGAAGATCAGGACCAAAAAGAGGACGTTTGCCACTGAGTTCAGATAAAAGCCACTCTTGTCGCTGTTCTTCAGACCATTCTTTGTACGAACCGAGTTCCAAATGCTGAGTAATGGCATCCAAGACATCGGTGTGACGATCCGACTCTTGCCTGATGTCGAGCCTTACAAGTGACAGACCAAAAGTGGACACTTGCCTCAAAAAATCAAGAAGGGTGCCATCAGCAATTGCACGGTCGCCACAACCACAGAGGGATCGGTAGCATAGTTCAAGAGGTTCCAAGAACTGCAAGAAGTTCGAAAATTAATCATAAACATCAGAAACTAACATGAACTTTCAAGCTTTCTTTTAAACTATTTGTTCCATTAGCAAAGTGTTTAATGAAATGATTGTTGTGCTCGACATAAGAAGATCCAAGAAGAACAAACCTGCTCGACATTCGTAAAAGTCGCATCCTCGGGGATGTCTGAGTGTCCATGTGCTAACAAATGGCGAGAACGTTCACGTGTTTGATAAAGCTTGTCCCTCACATCGCCAAGAATCACCCGGTACGGTTCATTGCCAGGAACTTGCTTCCAAAATTCTATACCAAAGAAAAAAAAAACTAAATTCACCAGAACCAAACTTAAGTTCTTCTCTACACAGTAAATTTTACAGCGAAACTAAACGCATTCGGACATTTTTTCTTTTACTAGAAAACATAAGTCGTGATCGATTACCTATATAGTGTTTTGCATCTCTCCTTGATGAATTATGAAGCATGTCTGCACGTTCACGAAGCTCGCTATTGCATCGCCACATAGACAACTGCAGAAAAATATTATGAGTATGATCCCTCAGTTTATTGTTGCTAGTTGACCAAATAGCAAACATTGCCTATCACACAAATGGGAATAAATACCTCAAACATGAGATCCTCAATCTGTGAGTAGTACAGATTAGCAGCCATCATTCTAGCAAGAAGACAGACATCCCTCGTAACCTCCGGTGTCACCCTAGGATTACCTGTCGACCGATCGAAGGAAAAGCTAATAACTTAGAAGCAGCTATGATTTCCAGAGGTATCATCAGTGCGGATAAGATATATCTGTAACAGCCCAAATCCATCGCTAGTAGATATTGTCCCCTTTGGGCTTTCCCTTCTGGGCTTCCCCTAAAGATTTTAAAACGCGTCTACTAAGGAGAGGTTTCCACACCCTTTTAAGGAATGTTTCGTTTCCCTCTCCAATCGAGATGGGATCTCATAATCCACCCCCCTTGGGGGCCAACATCCAACTCAGTATCTGGCTCTGATACCATTTGTAACAACTCAAGTCCACCGCTAGCAAATATTGTCATCTTTCCTCTTTGGGCTTTCCCTTCTGGGCTTCCCCTCAAGGTTTTAAAACACGTCTACTAAGAAGAGGTTTCCACACCTGTTAAGAAATGTTTCATTCCCCTCTCCAACCGATGTGGGATCTCACAATATCATTGCTATTTTCATAATCGAGTTTCAATGTTCACATTAAGTATACGAAAGAAAAGATTTTACCATCACGGTCACCACCCATCCAGGATGAAAACTGAATAAGCGGAGCATTATGAGGAACACGTTCGTCAATTCCAATATTCTTCAAAGCAGTATCAACACGGCGCAGAAATTTAGGAACACCCTTCCAAATCGTCTCGTGGAAGTAGCTCATTCCTGCCCTCATTTCATCTTGTGGGGTAGGAGGAGTCCTACGGATTTCATCAGTACGAAATGCAGCTTGAATCTACAAAAGAATCTTTGTCAAGATCAAATCATTGCAGTAAAATGTCTGCCATATACGAAATGCAGCGCTGCAACGATATCAAACGACTACATCTATCAGTTATTATTTCCAGCAGCATGCATTTATCAAGTGTAAGCATATCTCAACATGATTTAGTCTTAGTATTCACAAGCAGATGACAAACAATAGGAGTGCAAGTTTTACCTCTCTCTGAAGCGCCTCATCAAGCTCTTGCTTGTCATCAGGAGTAATGTCTTTGGCGTACAATTGGACTAAACAATCCCTTATCCTGCGTTTAAAGACAGCAAGACAGACATCTAATTAGTTAGCTTCTCCCGATTTACTGGAACTGACACTTGGAGTGTATAAATATCTCAACCCATCAATATGATATAAGTTGATAACAAGGACGGTTAGGAATCACGACCCTCCACACTAGTATGATGTTGTCCACTTTGAGCATAGACTCTCATGGCTTTGTTTTTTACTTCCCCAAAAGCCTTCATACCAATGGAGATGTATTCCTTACTTATAAACCCATGATCAACCCCTTAATTAGTCAATGTGGAACTTCTCACCCAACAATCCTCCTCTCAAATAAAGTACACCATAGAGCCTCCCTTGAGGCCTATGGAGCCCTCGAACAACCTCCCCTTAATCGAGACTCGACTCCTTCTCTAGAGCTTTCGAACAAAGCAACACTTGAGTCACATTTGACTACACTTTTGAGGGTCCCAACTTCTTTGTTTGACATTTGAGGATTCTATTGACATGGCTAAGTTAAGGGCATGACTCTGATACCATGTTAGGAATCACAACCCTCCACAATGGTATGATATTGTCCACTTTGAGCATAGACTCTCATGGCTTTGGTTTTGACTTCCCCAAAAGGCCTCATACCAATGGAGATCTATTCCTTACTTATAAACCTATGATCAACCCCTTTACTAGCCGATGTGGGACTCCTCTTTAAACAATCATCAACAATCTTCCCCTCAAACAAAGTACACTATAGAGCCTCCCCTAAGGCCTATGAAGCCCTCAAACAACCTCCCCTTAATTGAGACTCAACTCCTCCTCTGGAGCCCTCAAACAAAGTAACACTTGAATTACTTTTGACTACACTTTCAAGGGTCTCAACTTCTTTGTTCAACATTTGAGAATCCTATTGACATGGCTAAGTTAAGAGCATGACTCTAGTATCATGTTAGGAATCACGACCCTCCACAATGGTATGATATTGTTAACAATGACATCTAATGATAAAATATGAAGATAAGCATAAACATGATCGACAGTAACTCATAAGTCAACCTTGCATGCTTCTGAAGCAAAGATCTACGAACTGATTGAGTAGGATGAGCAGTCAAGACCAAATCTACAGTTTGGTTCTTCAAGGCATCAAAAACTTCTTGAGGGGACTTATTCAAATCACCCACAAGCTTCTTCAAAGTTTCCTCAATATCAGATTCAGTGGTTGCAGAGTTCTCATCAGCAAAATCACCCTTCTTCAGTTTAATCCTTCGACGATAAGCAATCTGAACCTCCTCAGCCAAGTTAGCCAAGTTAAGCATATGGGAGAAAGACTTAGCAATCACTATAGAGTCCCCTGGATCTAAACTAGTCAACACATTTCCAAGCTCCTCAAGTTTCTTCGGATCGTGCATCCCTTCGTATTCCGCCGACAGTTCATAACATTCTTGCACCTTCCATTCAAAGAAAATAAACTTAGTTCATCCTTCAAAATCAAAGTCAAAATCAAAGTCAAACTCAAATTCAAATTCCCTGTTCTAACTTACAGTTTCCTTCAGATCCTCCCCATGTAAATCCTGAAGAATGTCAAGGAATCGATCCAGTAACAACGCATCATACTCCACTAATTTATCATCCTCGCTCACTCTGGCTGGTACTAACATCCGAAGCTGCGCATCAATTGATGCCAACTTCTCCAGATTCCTGTTCGCCATATTTCACACCAAATTCCTCTCTGAAATCACCACATAAACCCCATTAGGCACTCAAAAAACAACACATCAAACCCATCAAATTAAACCCAAAAGAATGCATCAATTTCAACGACGACCCACAAAAAAGGAGCCTAGAAAAACACGAATTCTGACACTAAACCCAAAACCCAGTTCGAGAAATGAGTAAATACAGAGACCCTATTAGATTCTACGTCGAAATAGATTCAAATCTCACTAAAAACCCTCACAAACAAGCAACAAATACCAAAATGGAGCCTAGGAAAACACGATTTCTGATACTAAACCCAGAACCCAGTTCGAGAAACGAGTAAATACAGAGATCCCATAAGATTCTACCTCGAAATAGATTCAAATCTCAGTAAAAACCCCCAAAATAAGCAACAAATACCAAAATGGATAGTGATAATGTGGTAAAAGTGGACGAAGACGTACCTGAAAACAAGAGGCGATTAAAAAGGAAGAGTAGGACGAATTGAAATCAGAAGAAAGGGGAGTGGTTGAGATTCTGAGATCCAATGCCAGCGGTTCCAGAGGATTTTATAGAGCCATGGGGCCTCACACTCGATGCTCAATAAGAAGAAAAGTCGTACATATTCTTTAAATTTTCTATTCAACTAAAAAACTGATAATATAACCGCTAAAATAAATATATATTTCTAAAAAATTAAGACAAAAAAAAAAAAAAAAAAGCATATTAATTCTTTACATTCTGAAATATCTTAATTAAAAAATTAATATTTATATTTATAATTTTTTACTTTTTAAAATATAATTTTCTATAAATTGGATATGCTTGAAAATATACTGTAATAGCATATGCTTTAATTCTAATTAGATCTTGAAAATGAAAGGTTCCAATTTGAATTAGAAAATTAAAAAAAAAAATTGATTTTTTTTTTAATTTTTACGGAGAGTTTCAATATATTACAAAATTATTATAATAATTTATTAATTATTCAATTTTATGTCTCAATTATATAAATGATTATTTTAAATTTGATGAATGTTTAATAGAAAAATATAAATGATTTGATTTTGTATATTAATTTTTTTTAGTATAATCGTAAGGGATGATGCGATGAGAATATTTAGATCTATTTTTAGTAAAATTAATAATTTATTAAATTGAAGTGGATTATTTAAATAGATATAAAATATTTAAATAAATAACAATTTAGTTTAATAAAATATAATAAGCTTGCTAACCCCACAATAATTATTTTAAGTCAACTTGGATAAACAAACAATGACACATGATTAATGCACTAATTATGCCTACTTTCCACTTTCGTAATTTTTTGCTATAATTAGGCATGAATTTTGGGTCCCTAAATAATTATAATATTTTATATTTATTATTATTGTTTTTTTTATTTGTGCATCGATGTTCGTTTGTCTTGTCAAGACGTGCTTCTAGCCGATAAAAAAAAAAAAGCGAGGATTTATTTATTTATTTATTTATTTTTGTATCTGTCCCTACTCACTCACTCTCGATTATATATATATATAATAGGAAAGATTCTCCGTGGAAAATCTCGATCGAATCTTGACAAAAATAAATGAAGAATTTTGTGGGAATGGAGATTGAAATAGGTGATAGGAACATCGTCCCTACTTAGATAAAGTATAGGTTCTCGATCAAAAAAATTAAATGTTCGAGTCTGACAACTTGTTGCTAGTGTGTACTAACTATGACGTGAACATGAGTGAAAACAAGAGCATTTTTTAGTGTACCACGTCTTGTTCCCTTAATTGGGTTAGGAGTATTTTCTATCGAGTTCGAGTTTAGGTCAATCTTTTTGTTTGGTTCCTTCGTTAAAAGGGTAGGAATGTCTTTTTGCTCTCTAACCTTTTTATTTGGGAAAAGAAAGAAAAGGGCACATAGAGAAATGTAGCCGGCCGAAGACAAATGGAGGAAGAGCTAGTTGAAATTGAGTTTGTATACCATTTTTTTTAAAGTTCATCACATTTTTTTTTTTTTTTTTTTTTTTATATTTGGCCCACATGCTTTTATTTAACTTATTCAAATCATATTTTAATTCTTCCTATGACCAATAACAACCATATAAAGTTTGATATTTTTGTCATTTTAGTTTTGTTTTTGTTTGGTTATTAAAATTTCAAAACTAAAATAGAATTTTAAATGGATTTATACTATTTGAAATTAATTTATGAATTGACTTTTAGTAGTGTTGGTGTCAATTAACACGAGGTGGGCCGACACAATTGGTATATGTTTTTTTAAAATAAATTAAAAACACGGAGGTGGGTAGACTTAATTCGTATATTCATATATATGTATATATAAAAGATAACTTATAGAGATGTCTCCTTTACCCCGGGGATCCACCCTAAACTTTTATCCATGGGACCTGCCTTGAATGAGGAGGGATTTCCATTTAGATAGGGAATGGGAGAAGGAGTAGGGAACGTTTTTTTTTTTACCTTTTAGATAAATGAGGTCGCAAACGGAATTATATTCCTTGTCCCCGTCCAATTCACCGTCCCACTTAAAATAAATAAATATATATATATATATATATATACGTGCTTGTATGTAACTAGTGGAGGTTATCGGTCCCCACACTATGGCATCTGTGATAGCTTATAAAAACTTTCACCGTTGCCCTCAAATATCTCTAACGGCTTATAAAAGCATGGTGGGGGAAACTTTCTCCATTATCAAAATTTGATGGATAATAAGGTAAATTCACATGGAAACCTTTTGGAGAAGAAAGGGCAAAATTGTCAAAACGAATAAAAGCGATTTTTTGGTCGAGGACACAAAGAAGACACGTGGCTTGTACGACACGCTTACTTGGAAGTCCACTATTTCTGAAAATTATTCCACAAAAAAGAAAAAGAAAAAGAAAAAAAAAAGGTATGCCCTAATTTTTATCTCACTTAAAAAAGAATATTCGAATTTGAAAAAAAAAAAAAAAAAAAAAAAAGATGCCAATGCATGCCAACCATTCAAATTTTCTCTCGCTAATTTTTCATCTTCAAATAATAATAATAATTTAATTTTCAAAAGTCTATTCTTTTTTCTTTTGTGGTTAAAAAAATTTAAAAGAATTAAAATTACTATTTATATTAATCAAATATATATTTCTTTTTCGATGACTCAGTCATAACAAATTTCAAAATGAAACCTATGTAACTTAGGACAATCCTATATTTAAAGTCATCAAATGTCCGATCTAAATATTAAACATAAAATATGATTATGTATTTTTTATTTTTAGTTGCGTAGATTAAATTAGTAAATGGTGTATTTGAAAACTTAATTATTAATTGTCTAATGTTATTTAATTATAATGTGGACTTTCAAGTGAGACAAAACATAAACCTAGCACATTATTTAATATGGTAAAGGTTTTAATTAAGTCCAATTATTTTGTAGGTTTGACTTTTAATAATACTGTTTTGGTTGACTTTTATATATAAAAAAACGGAATTATTGGTTTTTTTGGAAAAAAAAAAATAGCATTATTGGTTTGACGATAAGGTATCATAGCCTTATCATAAGCTATTGGTAGATACTAGAGAGGCGTGATAAACCACACCATTTATTTGGATTTTTTTAATTCAATAATCATTAGAAAAATATGCATAGCTTATTACTAAAATATATATTAATTATATATGATTTTATAATATTTTGGTTAAATAATAAATTTAATTGATATTTAAACTTTTAAAATAATAAATTTAGTCTTAAGCTTTTGATTTTTGTCATAGACCATAGGCTTTTTATTTTTTAGGAACTGTCTGTAATCGTGGGCCTTTTTTAAGACAGGCCCAAGAAATTTCCGCTGGACTAAAAGTTCTGAGTCCATTTTTTTTTTCCCGAAAGCATGAAACGACATGTCGGAAATATATTTAATTAATTAATTAATCAACCATTAACTTGAAAATAAAATTTGACAATTTTTTCTAAAATATTTTAGAGGAAAAAAAAAAAAATTGGTTTAGCAATTTTCATTTTAAATTAAAGTTTTAGTTTCATATATAAAAATAGACCAAAACGGACAATATTTATTAGCGGTAAACTTGAACGGTTACATTTTCATTTTCTGGGTTTTGGGTTTTAAAGAAAAATCAAGAAATTGAATGTATTTGTTGTTACTTTATATTTTAATATTGTTAAATATTTTTTTTGATAAAAATTTGAAGGAAATGTGACTCATCATTTAAATTTATTAAACAATAAAGGTCTAAATTATTTCCTTTAAATGAAAAAAAAATTAAATTAAATAGTTATTTAAAGGGTGTTAATTTTATATTTTTATTTTTAGAAAATAGGGTGTGATAATTTGTGTTTTTTGGCGAAGGAAAGCATTGATAATAGAACGAGACATGAAAAGTTCATAAAATGGAATCCTAAGATGAATGTTATGATGGAAAATCATATCAAATATCAGGATAATTATTGACATAACAACTTGTCCTATTAATTCCATTTTTATTCTCTTAATTTACTTTTGAAAACACGTTCATACGACGGTAAAAATTTAAAAATCTAGCATTTGAGCTGGATTGTGATGTCCGAATAAAGAAATAGTACACGAATGAACAAAGTTATGTAGAATTTATAACAGTCTAAGACCACTGTTAGCAAATATTGTCCGCTTTATCTCGTTATGTATCGCCGCCAGCCTTATAGTCTAAAAATGCGTCTATTAAGGAGAGGTTTGTACACTTTTATCAAGAATACTCCGTTCCCCTTTCTAACTAATGCCTTTGCTGGCTCACCACCTAGTGCCTAGTTCTAATACCATTTGTCGATTTGTGCTTGTCGTCCTTGCGCAGGAGTCATGCTAATCTTTTTTGTATCATTCTAATTTTATCAGATGTCCCTAATCCGTGTTGGTCTGGAAATATCAGGGCATTAAAAAGTGAATTCAGATTTCAAATCGTGATCACTTTAGCTTATACTAATATAAACGTTAGCTTTTAAACTATATATTAAACTTTTATAAATCATAATCTAATAAACTCGTGTTTTTAGTCAAGTTGAACAAGTTTGATAGACGAAAAATCATATATATTTGAAAGGGAAGGACACTAAATACTTATATAATTATAATCCAAGCTGAATAGTATACTAAATTTGACACAAAATCTCAATAAAAAAGCATCCAGAAACTGGCTGTGCTGAGCTCCAAGTTATAGAACCAAATAAAACACAATGCTTTGTGTTCTAAGGAAAAACAACTAAACTTCAATTCAAATGAACTCGACAGTGCTCGCTAATCCAAAGCCTTGGGAAGTTGTTTAGGCCGCTGAACCAAAAAAAATGGAGTAAGCAACCAATTTAAACATAGCTCAACTACGTAAGACATATATATTTTCGAAGATCAAATGTTTGGATCTCCCACTTCTACATAGTAAACTCGAAAAATGTAATAAGAATATAGACTATATTTGTGTCTGACCAACAACATGTCGATTACCTTAACGGATTATTGTCTTGGAATGTTTAGAAACATGGCGACGAATAGAATAAATAAGACAAAAAATGAAACGTTACAAATGGGTTTAGCTTTCTTGAAAAAGAAAAAGGTGG